TTTTCTTAACCTAATGGTCTTTTATTGTCACCAGTTGCTCCTCATTTAATAAGTTAGGATTTAATTTTGGCATGCATGTAAGCTACACAACGAATAGATTAGATTGACAACGAACCTTGCCTAACATAAGGCTTTGGATCGTGCAAGGATGGATATGAGTATTCGGCAAAATCGGTATCTATGCCTTATCTTTGGAATGTATTAAGAAGATTGGTTTGATGGGCTTAGAGCAAAGTTTGCTAAAAGAAGACCTAATTATTATTTCTTTTAAATTTTATTGGTTGGTAAGTTGATGATGTTTAGTTCCAAAAAAACTTAATTTTTTCAACTCAATTGATGTGAGGTTGGTATTTATCGTGGGAGATTCTAGTATTTTGATCTTTAAGAAAAACCTCTTAGCTTTCTATCTCTTTTCTTAGAGCTTTTTTCATTCATATACCATACATCACCTATAATTTTATTAGTTTGGACTTTAACCATCTACTTGTTTGTTACTTCACTTACATCTTGCTAGAATTGTCTACTCCTTACACACCTCTCTCATTAGTAGTTTTATTTATTTAATTGATTGACTGTTACTTCTATAAATCATAATACTATTATTTTATAGTTTGACTAATTTATTTACCAATCCTTTTATTCGTTCTCAATAACCTCCTCACACAGCTTGAATGATCATATAGTAACATTTGTTGGATTTACATTATTTCTTTAACGAAGCCTAGATAGGGAGACTTTCAAGGGGAAAGACATGGGATGTAAAAAAAAAAGAGAGAGAGAGAGAGAGTCCTCCATAATTAGTGCTTTTTTTTAAAAAAAAAAAAATCAATCCAGACTCAGAAGAAAAAGCTATAATCAAATAAAGAGGACAAGAGAGACCCACCATAAACAACAGGGAAATGCCCATACCCGAGCCATACTTACAAGCAGGGAACACTAAAAACTTTATCGGATTGCATTTGTGGGCTAATTTGAATCAACTGTGCATTGCCGGGGGATCATAAGCAAGGTGCCGCAATCATAGGATATCAGTCTCAGCCTCTCAGGTATTTTTTGTATGGGATCTAGCCACGTATATATAACTGCCTCCAACTACGACTCTGTGCCAAAAAACAAAACGACCGATGCCTCATGCCTCCATATAGAAAACAGCAACTGCACTGCCTGTATTCTCTACGTATGGAAATCGAATAGAATGGGACACCACCATGTGATATTCCATCTGAATTTCTGATCAGTATTCCACCTAGTATAATAATATATACATATGTATCTAATAATGCTACCATGATCACATATATGTTACGAACCATGCAAACTCCGTTGACCATATGTTGCACCAAATTAAGTAGGAATTGATCCATCGGACAAGCTAGCATGATGATGCATCACCTAAGATATTAACGAATGACTGACCAAAAGTTTCCTAACCCTAGTCACTACAACAAATTTCAAGATAGACGACGAAAATATTCATCCTTAAACATTCAAAATTCATCGGTTAATATATTTTGAGATGCATAGTTAAATTGTCCCAAAATCCATGTAGTTAATTGTATTTTTAGATGCAAATTAATAATCGTTTCTAAAGAATCATTATTGCAAACGAATATTATTTTTATCTAAGAATGTCAAACATTTATAGACAATTAATTTTATTTTATAATATCTCTATGTTCGTCAAGAATGAGTCACCTTCGCCCCTAAATGTGGAAGATTTGAACGAGAGAAAAACATTTTTATTGATAATAAAAATGATAGAACTACATATATTTTGTTGTAATTAATTAAGTAATTGAGAATAAGATTGAAAGATCATATTAATTTGTTTTTCATGTGATTTATTTAGAGAGTAGACATATATTATTGAGACTTCGCTGAACAATTTAATGTTTTAAATTGAATGGTTATTTAACATGATACTATTTTAGTTCAACTAATTAATTACGGGATCAGAATTTGAATTTTACTAATCCGTTCGTTTATAATATTTGAAATGAAATCAGCACACAAGGGACGTAGAATTAATTTATTTGGTATTGAGAACACCAGCGACAAATATACTTTTGAATTCAATCTACAATCCTCCAGGGAGAATATAAAATTAAAATGGAAAAGATATATGCAGAAGTCAAATGTTTAGAACAAAATGTAACGTGTGAAGCGTAATATGTAAGGTTTTCTTTGCGACACAGTTAATTTAATTTGTCGGCCAACCCCAAAGGAACAAATTTTGCTGTCTGCAATCTATCTGTATGGAATGTGAAGTAACTGGAGCCAGGCCTGCAGGTAGAGGCGACGTGCCCTTACCCCCATCGTATTTCCCAGCTTACGACTAAATTAACACTTGCAACCGATGTCATGGCTGAATCTTTGGACAAAAATAAACAAAACAGTACTGAACATAAAATTAACGAGAGGGCTTGATTTGGGACCAATCATGCCATAGCGATTGGCACAGGAAAGGCTAAGCTTTAAAAGAAAACAAAGATCATCTCATTTTCTTCTTCTTCTTCTTCTTCTTCTTTTTAAAAATCATGTATAGTATGTGTTGGGTTTAATATAAAAACTTAAAACAACAGCACAATAATTTAAAATTTTGGATTAAAATAGCTTTTTAATACAATATTGAAACTTTAATTATTCAAATTAAATGGGATGTATTAGGCTTAACATAATTCTTTAACTGTCCATAGCAGGAACGCATTAAATGAATAAGGGAGCTAGAATAGTACGTAGTTTAAAAAAAAAAAAAAGTACTAGCAAATAAAACAGAAGTTACAGAGGACAGAACCATTCTCATTGATCTTTTTAAGGGTTGTGGTGGGTGTCTAGCGGTGTGGTGTGTTTTTTGTCCTCACCCCCTCTTTTTGTCTGTTAGAAACTTGAAATTCACAGTGCCAAAATCATCCTGTGGCTGCCCCCTCTCTCTCTCTCTCTCGCGTACGCGTCATGCATGAGATGACCACCTGTACTCTCTCTCTCTAACACGCGCCTCGTGCATACCGCACCAGGAACCTGTACAGTTCTCGTACTATTATACTAGCTAGTGTCCAAAAATGTTTTTCTTTTCTTTCAAAATATTGCGATTCTATGCTTGATGAAGCCGAGCAATATATTCCCAAGAGTAAATTATTCGTTCATTTCTCGGTTTTTTTTAAAACCGTAATTTAGTTTTTTGATCTACAAAAACCTACAATTTTGTCTTGCGTTTTAATTTTTTATTTATAACTTAGTTTTTTTGACAATACATTATTAATTTTTCATTATCATTGATCAAAAATTTCTTTTATTTTGATATTTTAAATAGAAAAAAGTTCACATGTACTAATAAAAATCCAATATAATTTCAATAATATTTTAAAATTTTTAAGATCATGAAGTATTTTTAAATATTTCTTTAAATATTTATAAAATTATAAAGATATAGAAAATAATTTAGAATGATCTGAATTTTTTCTGAGAGATACAAAAAAATAATATATATTTATTCATTTATTTATATTATGATTTGCAAAATATTTGCATGTATAGTTATGCAAATTAATTTATTTTAAATTTGATTAGCTGTTACGTATTCGACATGCAAATATTTCAACATTTTTACTAAAAATAAGTACATAAATATATTTTTCAGTACCGTAAAATATATTTGAAATCATTTGAAATTATTTTTTTATAATTTTATAAACATTTACTGTTTATGAAAAAATTAAAATGCTTTAGGATTTAAAAAATGAAATTATTTTTTAAATTGGACTGGATTTTTACAAGCAAATGTGAAAAAATTTAGCTAAAAAACCAAAAATTAAAATTTTTAAAGAGGTTTTTGGTTAATAATAATAATAAATTAACGATGCATTGTCAAAAAGGACTAAACGAAATTAGAGAATTAAAACGGACATGACTATAGATTTTTAAAATTGGAGGGATTAAGTTATAGTTGAGTTGAAAATTGATGCATAAAAGAATAATTTACTTGATAGTGCACCGTTAATTTTTTAAAACGTTTTTATAATGTTTCCAATATTCCGTTGATACTTGATTATCCATTTGATTCCAAATATATACACCTTCGTTCTGCTATTTTTTTCCCCCAAATTAACGTGTTTTGCCACTTATTTTAGCTAATAGAATAGTGATATATATAGTGATTGATATATTTTTAAATCTGCACTGTTATAGGCAATAATAAATAGTTCAAAAATACGATTTTTGTTTAAGAGTGTTATTCAATTTTTATTTTTTTCGAGAAGAAGTTTATGAATATTGAATCATATCGAAAATAATTGTTAGTAATAAAATAGGATCATGCAATATCAGACATGAGTTTGCTTAATTACATTCTAATAGAGCAGCGTAGCCTGAAACTTCAATAAATTTTTTATATTGAGTTTCCAACGCATGATCTTTTTTTTCACAATAATAATAAAATAGTTCACGATAACATTAGAATACTCGTCTGTTCCGACAGCATTAAATGACGAATTCAATCATTTATAATCCGTTGAACGACTCAGAGTGTAATGTACGACCATACCAATTACGAAAGCAAACGCAAGTTCTATTTCATCAGGGAAAAAAAAAGAGCAAACCAAAGTACTACGTGTGAAATGATAATGAACACATGAAAATATCTAGCCAAAAGAGGTAAGAAAATTAGAATCGAAACATTTTATGCGAACAACAAATATTTATACATACGTGCAAATTCCATTACAATGGATGCAAAACTGGTGTTGTGAAGAGTAGCTTTCAGATAGACATACAATCTCTCTACAACCACCTAAATTCAGCAATGGAAATGCCCAGCCATGCTAGCTATTGATTTGGACCATGACCAACCTTCTTAATACAATAGATCAACTATTGATATATATATTATTGCAGATAATTATAAACCTTCTTCTTCTCCTCCTCCCCCTCCCACTTTTTTTTTTGGAAATTCGCAGAAAGTTAAGAGAGAGGAGCCCTGTGAGGAGATCCCTTTCTCCTGCTGCTCAAGGAGAAGAAATTCCCCGAAAGGAAGCCACTTTTTTCTTCTTATCTTTCAGGACCTCAGGTTCGTGTGAAATTCCTGAACTGCCCATGATGTCATTGGAGCACGATGTGCCTCTGTACTGTAATGGATCCTCAAGAATGGAGCTCGTGGTAATGTGACCATCATCATCAATAATCTCGGCGCTGTCCATCCTCAAGCCCTCAAATTGGGAAAATGCAAAATCAGATGCATCAATCCTGTAAAGAATAGCAGAGAGATCCTCCCCTTGATCCACCAAGTGATTTACCTGCGTTGTGTGTACTTTTCTAAGTCGAGGAGCATAAAGGCCAAAAGAGGGGGAAGAAAAAAAACCATCGTGACATAAAAATGATCGTATGCTGTATAGCACTAATATTTATTTGCTACAACTCCCCAAAAAACAAAGTGCTATAATTTGCAATTTCAAGAATTCAACTTTCATTATATATATATATATATAAGACCTTTCAATTCAACTAGAGACAGCTAAAATCCACAAACCTAACAAGAAAGCTAAAAACACATCCGCTCAGGAAGCGAGAGTTTAGTTAATGTCACACCCAATACCACTCTTTTTGGCATTCCTATTGCAACCAAATCAATAAAGTAATTAATCCCTTTTCTTTTATTATTATTACTATTATTATTATAGGAAATTACTCCCTTTTCTTTTAAAAAATAAAAAAATCCTATTCAAAAGAAGAAATTGCTCCTAAAAAAAATGATTATTTAAAACATAGGAAAACCATAAAATTAAAATTAAAAGAGACCTTGCATGAGAGAGAACAGAAGTGGAAGGGGTCTTGGAGTATCCTGTCACAAGTGAAGCAATTGTTGGCTGAGCCCTTACAAGACCTTGACTGTGGTCTCTGATTCAAAAATATCACTTTGGCACTGTTTATCGTATAGGGCTGTCAAACAAATAATTAATAGCAGCAGCTGATATCATTATCTCACTTTTTATTTCCATTTATTAACATTGAGGCGGCAGGATTATCTTCAATATATATATATATATATATATATATATATAATTACCTGAACATAAGAACAGTCAATGAGCTTCTCAAGATCCCCCAATCGAACCACATCATGGTAAACGTATCTTCTCACCTGTTATACATGCATGGTACCAAATTACGACAGTAATCAGGTCCGTCTAAAGTTTCTTAATAAATAAAAATTAGCCACTAAACTTTCATCCAATTAACCCCATCCGTTATATTGAATCCACCATATGAAGTCAAAGATCATTAACAAGGAGCATATGAATCAAAATTAATGAAGTAGAAGATAATGTTGTGGAGGCATCGGACACGTGAACTTACAGCATCTTGGGGTAGATATATGACTCTAATTATTTCACGAAAGTGATGTAAACTTTTACCCCACTAAATGAAAAAGTTAGGCAGCCAACCTCTCTCCTCATAAGAAAAAACGAATAGCTAAATAAATAGTAGTAAATTAGTTGAGCAGAGAATAAATGGTGAACTTGAAGTTCTTATACTAGTAACATGACAATGAACAGTAAAAAATGTGGTCAAACTTTCGCTTTCGTGAAAGCAACAGGTGAGGAACCTTTGCAGAGAAAATGGATAGAAAAGAAATCTTCCACATATGGGAAACTAACCGAATCCAAAAGGTGGGAATCAAGGGAGACAAAGATAATCCATTTATGGAACACCTTATAAACTAAAATAAATAGGGTAAAATTTCATGATATAATCAATCTTAAGAAAAGCCGGATGCAAAGGAAATAGACACAAGAGAATCTTGGATTCGTAGATGACATTCGAGGAATCATATGAGAGAAAGAAAAATTCCAGAAACAAACTAGAATACGTGTTCAATTTGCTCAATGTGGAAAAAGGCTACAAAAAGGAAATTGACCTTGAATTGTTAGCTTGTTTTTATTCTATAACTTCTAGTAGCTGGGTGGGTTCCAGCTTTCAGAGATTTTTATATATGTGCATATAGGGAAAGAGAGTAATTAGAGATGAGCTACATACTTGGGGATAAGAACTATTAAATAACAAGAAATAGGAATTAGAAAGATATATGCGAATTATAGTCAAAAGCTAAAAAAAAAAAAAAAGATCTATTAAGTTCTTTGAAAAAGACTTCCCTATCAAAATACAGAGAATTCTAGGAAATTTCCTCCAAATATTTTAGTTGACATACAAAATTCTATAATTGTTCATTATACAAAACCGAAAACCCAGAGTTCATGTAAGAGACAGAAGAAATATGACTCCTAAACAGATTTTAAAGATTTATGAATTACTTTCAAAGAATACTCAAAGTACCCATCAAATAAGTCAGGGTGAGTATGGGTTCAAAAGAAAATTCAAACAATTCAAGGTGACAAGTCAAGAAAAACTGTGTAAAAGAAATAAAATATAAAGCTTGGAAAAATTAAAGGAGTTCACAATTGAAAATGGTATGTGAATCACATGAGTGTAATTGATTGTGTAAGGAAATTATGAACCCAAAGAAGATTCTACTTAGAAAGGCGAGAGAAATATAGAAGAAATTTTGAATACCCACCGAGGAATCGAGGATGCTTTAGCTCAAAAAGAAACCAAAGCCCTTAAAAAGATCAGATTTTAAGGAAACGGTACAATTATATATGTGTGTAAAAAATACATGCATATATACAAGGAATTCTGAAGGCAGCTATGGAGTACTAAAAAATTGTGTACCTGGAGGAGGGGATGAGAGCGATGAGAAGGAAGGCAGTGAGGGCAGATACTAAGGCAGCAGAGCAAGCAAAAGATGTTCTTCTCATTCTTTCTGCTATTCTCGTGGACCCCACAACCTCCAAAGAATGTCTCTGCCATCAATCCTTGAAGCCATGCAGGCTTCATAGTATTACTGCTCATCATCATCATCATTTCATCGTCACCACCTCCACCTCCACCTCCACTTCTCCTTATTGATGATGGATTGTGACTATGATTATTATAATTGTACTTGTTCTCTCCCACCATCTCTAGCTCTCCCTTTTTTGGAACTTGTAATTCAATATGGAGACTGATGGTCTTGATAAAAATAATAATAATAATAATAAAAATATATAAGAAGAGCTCCCTTCAAATTCTTGAAGAAACCCTACACATAATTCTAATAGTATTACTCTATGTGATGTAAATGGTATAGGAGTGTGAATATCTTCTCCTGTATTTAAATTCAGTAGCTTCCAGAATTGTTGTCGTTTCTAGCTAGAGTGAGAGAAGAGAGATAAAACGAAGGAAATTCACAAAAGTTGAAAACTTTTTGAGAGTGCGTAGGTGCTGTAGGACAGAGCGAGAGAGAGAGAGAGAGAGAGAGAGAGAGAGTATGTGTGTGTGTGTGTGTTTTTTTGAGAGAGGGAGGAAGTGTGCTTTTAGGGCTGAGTCACTTGGTAGGAGGAAATTGGCTATAGATATTAGTAAATAGTAATTGAAAAAGGGGCAGAGGGAGGGGAGACCAAATACCCAGTTAGAGTGGAAGATTTTGAGGTCTTTTGGTAGCCAGAACGAGAACCAGAGTAATAAAAAGGATAAATTGTGAAAATTGGAGGATGATGAGGTGTATGAAGGGGAGTGGTGTAAATGGCGGGAAGACAGCCCACCAATCTGTGACTTGTCTTTTTTTTTTCTGCTTAATGCCCTACGTTTACATAGAGATAACTACATGGAAATGACAATTTGCCTCGCTCCAACGACGATGTTCTTCTCCATTCCGGTCAATATAAGAATTCTTTGAATTAATTGAACAACGAGACGAAGCACCCTACCTTACAGTAATTTTAAATTAGGATGGGATGAAGATAGTATTTATCCGTCCTATCTTGTCCTTCCTTATCATTCCCATCCTATCCTATCTTGTTTTTTTTTAAAAAAAATTACAATTATACTTAACATATATATGAACTCCGATGCTATAAATTAGTCTTTAATATAATGAGTGAGTTTTGATAATTTTTAAATAATAAAGACATACAAAAATTTATGTTTTTTAATTACGGTTACTATACTTCATCAATTTAATTAAGTATATTATTTATTCTATTGAAAATAATTTAATATATTATGAGTTGTGTTGTAAACTTGTAATTGAATATAATATTAAATTATTATTTTTATTAATTATATATTTTTATATGGAATATTATCATTTTACTATGATTTAAAATTTAAAATAATATAATGTGAGATTGAATGGAATAGAGCAAATATAAAAATTTAAACAGGACAGCAATGTCCAATAGAGATCCCCATTGCCCCCACAGGAGTCTTTGGTGTCCTTTGAGCCCTTGATGTTTTGTTGTTTGCCATTCAATGCAACTTCTTCTGTGTCTTCCGTCTTGGGAGCAAAGCAAATTAATCTTCCATTTAGTTTATTTTTTTCAGAAAGTTCATATTTTGGTTTATGCGTGAAAATATCACGCTTTCAATCGCTACTGGAATAACGGTAATAGACAGATCATCTAACCACAAGTTACAAGATGTTTTCTTTTGTTGTTGATTTTATATTGCAAATTTTGTTTTCTGTGTATCATTTTAATTCCAAATATTTACGTAGTAAAATGATTTTCCCCCAAAAAACGGAGTGTTAGCCTAGTGGTTTTGATATTCTTATGATAAAACCATCGAATAGCTAGGACTTTAAACTGCAATTCTTCCTCCTTCCCCATTTTCGACAGCGAATTCCGATTAGATAGATGATTGAAGGCAATTAATTTCAGCAAACATATATTTGATGTTTATGTAGTTTAAGTACTTTGATTCATTTTGTTATCTATACCCATACCCACAAGATGGTTTATTGTTGATATTTTTAATTATTTTTGTACTTTGAGATTTTTTTTTTTTTTACATATTCTGGAAATTATATATAGTGTAGTAAATCAGCATGAGCTAACATGACAATTAAAAAATTAATCAATCAAATGCAACAAAAAAAATATATATATATATATATATATCGACATAGCAATCTATCTATCACTTCAATAGTTTTACTCATATGACAACTATTCATATCCCTTAAATTAAACATGCTGACAATTTTTGCAAGTGGAAGTATAATAATGTGGAATTTGTGTTAATCAATAATCATCCTTATTTTACAAATATGGAATTCAATGTTATAAGAGTTACGTCATCGTAATATTCAAAAGAAAAATGATTTGTATAAAGAATGATAGATAACAAAAAACTAATGAAAATAAACAATTAACAATGAACCAAAAAAAATTGTTTGAAATTGCCAAAAAAGGAATCCATCCTTTCAGACAATCCACTGAAAAAAAGAAAAAAGAAAAAAAAAGAGAGCTCCATAATATTGTAAAACTTAAAATTTAAATCTTAAATCAATAAAACTAATAAGAAAAGGCTGGTCAAAGTTAATTTATGTTTACTTTTTAAAACCGATGAAGACCAATAAATATTGAATAGAGAGTAGCTAGGTAAGTTGGAATAGTATTTACTAACAATTTTAGTGTTTCTGAAAAAATCAAACGTGACATTTTTGGCTGTAGGAGGAAGCATCCTAGCATCACTCCCAAAACATGTAAAGTTACAAAAAAATTATATATAAACTAATTCTATGTTTTGGAATGAAGATACTCCCTAGCCACAAATTTTGAAAAAGAAAGAAATTGTTTATTAGTTCCGCTTTTACAATCCGAATTTGCAATAATCTTAAATGGTTTTATAAATCTTCATCTCTTACGATTTTGATCTGAATATTGACGGGAAATGATAATCAATTCAACCGAATCGTTCAAAATAAAATAATCACTAAATAATCTAGATTATATTAAATAATGCACGTACGTCGTTCTTTAAATCCGTCCCTTTTTTCTTTCTTTTTTTTTTTTCCTGTTCGAGAAAGATGGTCGATGTTTAAAAGCTGTAGTCTAAACCTTTCATATGAAAATGTATGTTATTGTGCATTCTCCATCTGTTTTATGCTTAATGTACAGCTAATTAATATAAGAGAATTATCTCATTTTAAAAATATAATTGGGAATCGACTTTTGAAGAAAATATGAGGACCCCCACTAATCAAGAGCCACGTTATCTCGACAAAAGTAATACCTGGAGTCATACACATGGTCTTGGGTCACACGAATTAATAAGACAATCTTGAAATTCTATAATGTTTATACGGATAATTATTATGGAAAAGAAAAAAAAATCATAACTTCTATACTGTAATGTCTTTCCATGTGTCCTTGTAAAAATTTTTGTCAATTTCTATCATGACATATGGATTAAATTAGGGGTTGTCCGGCCTTTTCAAATTAAACCAAATAAAATTAGGAATGAGATGACTCTATAAGTAAAAAGAGAGAATATCTTAATCTCTTTTGTTTTTTTTTAGTGATAATCCGGCCTAATCTTAAACAATTTTGATGAAATTAACAAATAATGATTCTCATTTATTGAGGTTGTTTTGTTCTTTTCCTTTCCTGTTTATTGTATATTACCAATTTTTATTGAAATTTGAATATAGAAAGCTAATAAACTTATACTTCAACCCACACCCATATCTTTATTCTCTTAAAATTTGTTAGATTTTAGCCTTTCTTTTATATAAAAATTAAACATTGAAAAATCCAAAATCACAAGACGAGGCATTATTTTCTGTAAAATATGCAGGTGGTTTCGATAATACTGTAGGATATAGTTATATATGAAGTGGCCATTTTGTCTCTAGCACCTTTATGTACAGCAACTCTCCTCGGTTTGTAAGCTTATCATATGACACAATGTCCTGCACATGCATAATTTAATATGGTCCGCCCCTTTTTTCTATCCTTTTGTTATTCATTTCGCAGGGATACATTTTTTTCCTCTCTCTTTTTTCTCTGAATGATATATAAACGTGGTTTTATATTAGTTTAATTCATCGAATTGCTAAAAATTAATAAATTGTACGCCTTGAATTACTCGAAACACCCAATTGCTGTCTTTCTGTCTCTTAGTTTTGGGAGGCGTGTTCCATTTTTCAATTTATTCTGAATTTGATCATAATTGGAGTAAATAAACTTCACTGAGGAATTGACGTTAAAAATATTCATCAGCTACAAGGCCAAAGTTTAACCGTGAAGATTGTTGCCTTTCCTCAGACCTCATGAAGTAAAAGTCTAATTGGAATAAAACTGGTGCATGTGCAAAACAATGTGCAAACTAGCTTTCCCAAATATTCTGTCAAAATTAAACTACAAAATAATTTTCAGAAAGAACTCTATTGAATTTTTGTTAAGTACGGTTTGGACAATATTATTGTAAAATTGTCACTAATTTGAACTGAAAAACGCACTGAGCAAGATTACCAAATTGGCGAATACCATGCAAAACATCCGGTCGCACCGGACAGGATCACAGGAATAAAAGAGTGCGTACGGTCAATTTCTTTACATGGGCCGTGGCCACTCTAAGGATGAGAATAGTGAAGGCCTTAGCGAGTAGGCCGATTCTATATTCTCTATCAGAGGCCCAATTAATATTTAAACAAGCCCGTGTATCAATGAAAACTCAAAAGAAGCCTAAAAAGCCATCGTCATGACTCGCTTATTCTTTCCCTCCGATTCGTCCCTAACTCCAAAACGTAATGCTAGAGTATCATTTCGTCCCAAAAACATAAGCCCATTTGTACCCGGAGGGTTTAGAGCCCAGCCGTCAAACAAGTCGAAAACGAAAGATCCGTGATTTTGATTTTGATTTTTTTAACCATTATAGCAAACTAATTGTTGGATTTATGCGCTACCGTACGAGACTGAACTAAATATATTTATTTTAATTTAATATTATATATTATATTGTCAATCAACTAAAATATATTAAATTAAAAATAAAATATCATATAATTTTATAATTTTTAATTAAAATTTTGTATCTAATTTTTTTGTTTATGTTTTTAAAAAAATTTATAGTTAAAAAACATAATTTATTCTTTCTTGTGCATTTATTCTTAAATGAAAATCCATAAAAATATAAATATAAATTTAATATAATTTTTTTTAAAAAAATATCTTAATATTTTTTTCATAATATCGCATCAAAAAAATAAAGCAACAATTGATATAAAAAATTACATAAAAATTAACAAATGAATCTTTTTTATTCTTGTTTAATACCAATGAGAATAATTATTTTTTAAAAAAAATATGTACATTTGATTTCTATATATTCATTTACAAAAATAATGAATAACATTAGTATAAAAAATTGTATTTGAATTATTAAATAGTTATTTTAAAACATTATTTCAATTATTTTATTTGAAATAAATCAATATATATAAACAATAGCAAATGATTGATATTATATGTATAGATGCATAGTTAATTTTTAATAAAATCAATGACCATACTTACTCGGATATCGTCATTGATTTTATATGAAGCATAAAATATTAAAAAGATCATACTCACCATGTTAAAATGTGTAGTATAAATTAAAAAATATTTATTTAAATATAGTTAAAAATAATATATTAAAGTTAATAGAGTGCAATAAAAAAATATAAAATTGATTTCGATAAAATTTGATTATATGAAAAATAAGTATATAAAAAATGTTAATTTTATTTTAAAAAATTTATTATTTAAAGAATAAGCAAATAAAAAACTTATTCGAAAGTATTTATTAAAAAAAATAAAATTACATGAAAAAAGAAGGATAAAAAATAAATTTGATGACAATTTTTATAAAAAAATAAAAAATTAAAGAGATCAATTTTAAACAATAAGAGTATTATAATCGATATATACGTTTATTCTAAAATCTAAATATATATCTCATATATTCTATAATCATAATCTTCTATGAAAAAATAACAATTGATTTTTCCTAATTTTAATGCTCAATTGAATAATAATAATGAAAAAAAAGCATAAATTGATTGAAAAAAATAAACCAAAAAACTAAAGAGACAGGCCTATGAGCTTGGCTTCTGCAAACCCAAGGCTGGCCTGCGTGTCTGGGCCTATAGAAGCAAACGCGATTCTAGCTGTGCACTTAAGCCTATAACATCACAAGGGATTAAAAATTCAATTTTAAATTTTCAGAGATCAAAATAAAATATTATGTAAAAATTAAATATTAATGTCCAAAAACATTTTGAAAATTAAAAAAACGGCAACATTGCTACAGTACACCCACAGTGTTTTGTGAGGAGATGAACGAGTGAAAACTACTGTTCATTTTTATCTATTCTTTTAGTTTTGTTTGGTAATAGTTGATTTTATGTTCTATGCATCAGATCAAATTAACTATGTTTATTTTAGTTTAATAGTCTATACTACATTGTTGGTTTATTAAAATATATTAAATTAAAGATAAAAGATGAATTTTTATTTAATTTTATAATTTTTAATCAAAATGTTATATTTCATTTATTATTCTTTATGTTTTTCACAAATTTTATTGTTTAAAATATACGATTCGTTCTTTGTTATGTATTCATTATTAAATAAAAACTTATAACGATATAAATAGAACATTTCAAAAAAATTTCTTAATATTTTTTTCCATAAAATTACATCGAAGAAATAAGATAACAATCAATATAAAAACTTATATAAAAATTAACTAATGAATAAGTTTTTTAATTTTTAAAAACATGTATAGTTGATTTATATATATTTATTTACGGAATGATCAATAATGTTAGTAAAAAAAGATGTATTCGAATTATTTGGTAGTTCTTTTAAAATATTATTTTAATTAGTTTATTTAAAATAAATTATTTTTAGAATATTAAAAAAATGAATAACAAATTATTGGTGTTATGTGTGTAAGTACATAATCAGTTCAAATAAAATCAATGATTTCATTTTTTTATACATTATGACCATATACAATGGGTCAAAGTGTGCCATATAAATAAAAAATATATTTTTAAAAAAAAACTTAATTTGTAAGAATATATTGAAATTGATAAAATGCAATAAAAAACAACTAAAAAAATTTATTTTGATAAAATTTGATTATATAAAAATAAATTAATAAAACATGAGAATTCTATTATTTAATTGATTATTTATTAAAAAATATTCAAAAATTCATACATGAAAAAAATAATTTTTATTAAAAAAAATTACATAAAAATATTACAAGATTAAAATTTGACCAATTTTATAAAAAAAAAAATTAAAGAGATCAATTTTAAAAAATAAGAATAACATAATTTGATGTGTGTGTGTGTGTGCGCGCGTGTGTGTGTGTATTCTAAAATTTGAAACCATAAGAGAACAAAAATATCTTTTGAACACACAAGGGACAAAAAATATGTTAGATCAAAAAGAGGGACAAAAAATATGTTAGATCAAAAAGAGGGACCAAAATGAAATAAGGTAAAAACACGAGGAGCCTAAAATATATCTTGAAAACGCGAGGGACCAAAATATCTTTTGAAAAAATGAAAGACCAAAATGAAATAAAGTATAAAATTTGAAAACAAATTACTAAAAACTATAAAAAAAAATACAAAAACCATCGAAGTTTATCAAAATTGTCACATAGTGAACAATAAATGAATAGTGGTTTGTTAGCAAATACTATTTATTTGGTCTAAATCTTTTAGGTTTTCTTTTAATAAGGTTTTTTTATTAGCAATCATTCTTTTAAATAAATTAATTAAAAAATGAAAAAATATAACGATAATTTTGTATCTAAAATATCATTTATGAATTTAAATTTATCTCTCTAATAGTAAACAAATCTTAAGTATCAAATGAAATAATTATAGTTTTTTGTTTAATATCAAGAGAGTTTTAGTTAAAATTTTAAATTTATTTATAATTTTATAATACTTCAAAGGAGTATATATTAAAATTTTTATTTTTTTTAGATATATTCATTTATTCTCTCTTGAAACTAGAAAAAAAAGGTGAATAGAAAAATATTTTTATCCAAAATATCCTTTATGTTTTTAAATTAATCTCAATGACAGTAAGTAAATTCTTAATATAAAACTAAATATTGATAGCATTTTTTAAAAATGTCAAGAGATTTTTAGTTAAAATTTTAAACTTTTAAATAGTATTTATAATATTATAATACCTTGGAAGAGTACTTAATAATTTACTTATTTTCATTTTACAATTTTCTTATTTTGACTCCAAAGTTGTAATATAATTTTTTTTAAAAAATATTCACTCTAAATCGGTTTAAAGACCGTATATATCTTTATCTTTTTTTTTCTATTTATATTTTCAAATTTATTTGTTTAAATTGGATAGGAAATAAAAACATAGATAGAGATGAGATTAAGATAAAAAAAAAAAAAAAAAAGGTTGACATGAGTAGCAATCTTGTGGTATTAACGGTAGAGCTGAACATTGTTAGCTAAAAAATTAACAGAAAAACATAATTGAAACAAAAACTAAACGTAGAGGAATGAATTTATGATAAAAAAAAAGTAAAGAGATGTTATAAAGACAGAAGAAAGTGTGGATGGATCTGTGCAACCATTGATGTCTATCTATTTTAACCATTAAATACTACATGCAAGTCGCTTTTTTTCCCTTTAAAAATTGCCAAAATATCATTAAAGAGTAAAAGAGCTACATATTGATTTATTGATGATATTTTTTTATCATGAAATTTATGGAGCTTGATTTCTTGATAATTTGTTGATCAATGTTTGATATACATATATATATATATATAATGGCATATGTGCAACTTACGTATTATTTTATTTTATGAGAAAAAAAGAAGAAGAAGAAATGGAATATGAAATGATGGATGGTTAGTCAAAACTCCTTCCATTTGATGGTTGAAACAATATTAATTAATAATAATTCAAGATGTAACAATAAAACAATCTATAATTTGTAATGTATTAATACGGATTAGCCTCCAAATTAACTGCCATATCAAGTAGTATATGTTTGAAACAGTGAAATATTTTGCTTGGATCAGGCTTCTCTGTCACTGACCCTTATATTATTTGAATTTTACCCCGAAAAATAAAATAAAATTATGATGACCTATTTATATCCATTTTTATTTTTTTTAATTATTTTTTTTGTAGTAGGGATATTCTCAACTCAATTTGCATGACAATTGAGGCTAAATCTCTTTTTGGACGATCTTAACGGTGCATCTATTATATAGATCTAGTACATTTAGATGAATTTAATATATTATTTCAGAAACTAGCTGTTACTCTCAAATTTGGTTTGAATTGGACAATCCAACAAATTAACAGAAAAAATTGTTAGACTGGTATCTAATTCAGGCCAAATATCCAATGCAGGCTCAAAACTTTGACCCAAACCCAACATTCAGTCTAAATCCAATTGATTGGAAGGGTCTTTCAAAGCCCAACATCTAGTTGAGAAGGTCTTGTAAAGTGAAAACCGAAACAACAGTTTTTAGTTGAGAAAATCATGGGACATAGACTATTAACATGATTGAATTGTCGCTGAGCACAAGAGATAACAGCCATAATAACTAAGAAACCATTCAGCGTAGCAATTAATAGCGATTAAAAGAAAATTTAGCATCAATAAGACATGATCAACATAATAATAGAAAGAGGTTTAGCATTACAACATGCTAAGTTGCAAGAGAACATAGAGTGTTGCAAAGGTGCATGCAAAATGCAAAAGAATGTGCTCCGCTACAAAAACATTATGAACAACAAGAAACCCATAAACACAAGCTGTAATGTGAGAAATAAAAACACAACACCATACAAATAAACTCAATTTGCTATTTGTAAATAACTCACAAAATACTTTCTTAGGTTTCAACACACTTGAAGTTGTTAGGATGTAACTTGTAAATAATAATTTGTAAGTTGTAATCTAATAGACAGTAATTAAATAGATTGATAATTTATAGACTAATAGTTTGGCTCCTTATTCCCATCTTCTATTAACAATTTGTGGTCGCAAGCTAAATTCTCAAGAAGTTATTATGTCTTGAATATCAATCTATAAGAATTCTTCATCATCAAAAAATATAAGTCTTCTTTTCAGTATTTTATATTGTTAACGAGTCCAATCTTGATTACTAATATGTAAATTATTTATTTTTTTTTCAATTTGAATAGATGATTTGATTATAAATTTGTTCGGAGAATCTAAATTATTGAGTCGAGATAGCTACTTTTTTTAGTAATCGCTCTTTTAAAGTTTACAAACCGATTGCAACTCGTTTAGTTTAGCTTTATATTAAAAAAAATACCAAAAATACTCTTAAATTAAATAGTATCATACGGTGGATAATTAGTTAAATTTATTTTTGTTCGAATTTGGAAGTGGATTACTTTGCAAAACACTATCCAATCAATTTTTTTTTTTTTTTTTTTTGGGTTATAAAATTCTCTTAATTGAGATAGGTAAAAAAGAAGCTCAAAAAATCAAGAAAATAAATAAAATCTCTACCAAACCGACTCCCTAAAATTTGCTTAATTTTATTTTCTTTGGCTATAAGTTTTATAACTTCAGACTACGCTATAATTTAGTAATTGAATGAAACATAAAAGAGCATTAACTAATTGGGACTTGCTTTTATTGGCGTGAGAGTTTGAAATTTTGGGTAAGGTCTAGATTCGTTTATCCATCCATATCAATCTAAGTATTAAAAAAAAATTAATGAGAAAACATGTGAAACATGGATAATTCAAAAATTTTAAAGTCGAGGTATCACATCTGCATGCTATATTATACTTGGATACATGAGAGGATCTAAAGTCACTATAGTTGATATGATATTCTTGATACTTATTAAATTTTCTCGAACATATTCAAAATAATTAATGATAAAATATTATTATTGAAAATACCTCAAGCCTATTCAAAAGGAGAAATTTAATTTATGGTGTTTCAAAAATAACCTTATAGAGAGGTATTATTATACATGCGTGGTTCACAAACTCTTATTTTATTAATTATTTACATTTTAAAGTTTTTTTTTTTTTTTTTTTTTTAAAATTGTATATGTAGCGCGATCAACGCTTTCCATCTAATCAATTACTAACAGAAGCAGATGAAGGGGTTAATAGCTAATAAAAGAATTGTTATGGATCAAAATCGAGTAAAGAATCGGGCGATCGATAAAAATGGAGGTGCATGCATCCGTTGATTTTCAACCAAATTATAAATGGAATGAATATTTTGTAATCTATGTATGGGAGGAAAATAACTCAAGTGTTTTCTAATATTTGCGTGCTTAATAAAGTTTTGTACATCATTTTTTTTTCTGTTAATTTCATTTTATTCTATGAAATGTATAATTTTACTCAAAAATTTGTTCTCTGTCAATTATCTCCTAAGCTTTCATCCATTTATCAACAAGGTAATGCTATATCTAGTAGCAAATCTAACATAAAATAACATGTTATTGTATAAACTTCAATTTCTCTCAAAAAATATAAATAGTTTATCGATTAATTAACTCTTTAAAAAAATTCCTCACATAATTCATGTAAAGATATACACACACGCACAATTTTTTTTTTTTATAGCAAAATCACTATAAGAAAAGGCATCAATGACATAATTACTATAAATTTTAATAAATGAAAAAAATTACAAAATAAAATTAACTTAATTTTTTAAAAACATTTGACCATTAAAATCAATAATTGCCCCGGCTTCACTTAAAATTCATAATCAATATTTTATATATATAGATAGATAGTTCATTTCAAAAGCAAAAAACAAAGTCAACAATGAATTCAACACGCTGGATAGGTTAATTCTATTTGATTTGGTTGTACTAAATCAACCAAAAAAAAAAAAATTAAGTAAGAGTTGATGGTAAGAGAGAGATAAAGTCTTAATTACCGTAGATTATTGAGATTGCTACCATTGGTTTTCGATAAATGAAAATGGAGCTTGTTGATTCCTATGAGGTGATAACGTTGAGAAATGGAGAAAATAGAAGGATAGATTTATACATGTAAATTTGATTTTGATATTAAATTCTTTTTTTGTTTTTAATCTATAAAATTAGCATATTTAGCATTTAGAAATTCTGTGTTTATTTGTCTAGAATAAAATTAGCATATATGTATGTATGTGTATATATATATATGTGTGTGTGTAATTTGATCAACATTGGTTTAATCTAAAGTGAATTTGGCTTTGTATTTTTCGTCATTTTATGAATTTGTTGATTAAATATTATTAAAATGGTCAGTGAATTTAATTTTGTGTTTTTTTTTAATCAGATTTCACGATTATAGCAATTTGAAAAGTTATATATAGTTTTGGAGGAAAATTAAAGTTTATAAAATATAAAAGCATTTTCTGTTAGTTTTGTTTAGGAAGATAGATGGAAGATCTTATTAATAAATGAGTGAAAACATCAAAGGGATAATTTATAAAAAAATAAAAATTTAAGAAGAAATTGTTAGAACGCAGATACTTCATGGCGGTAACAAAATTAACCCTCTCCTTTTTCAGTAAAACCATAAAAAACATTTTTTTATTATCGTAGATGTCATTAGTAGTTCAATGTTAGTGTTAAAGAAAAGAAGAAGAAGTCGAGTTTAAAATGCGCTGGTACCACTAAAACAAGAACAGTGAGTTGGTTATATTAAAACTGCGTGCGTATAAAATACGGGGATAGCATTTAATGTATTACAACAGCAGATCTTTTATATGGCAGCTAAATAGCACCATATATCATCATCACTGAGTTGGTTATATTAAAACTGCGTGCGTATAAAATACTTTTTCCATAGACTTTTCCTTCTTCATATATATTTAACTTTTCAATTTTTCATTTGTACGTGATGAGATTTATTTACAGGGCTCAACACGATTTATACAGCAAAAATTGCAATATCTGGACTGTAATGTAGGCTAACCAAGCTGGCTGTGTGTATGGATCGCCGCCCAGTAATTTGTCTTTTTCTACATCATTTCCTTTTCCAGCAAAACTATACAAACGTTAACATACCGACCGCATCTTGCAGATATAGCAATTAAGTGTATTATAATAGCATATCTTTTATGCGGCAACTATTAACACCATATATCATCACTAGCCACGTTAATTTTTATTAATTGTGTATAACAAATCTTTTTCATGTACCTTTCCCTGTCATTTTAAATTTTTCAAAATTTTCCTTTGTGAGGAGATATTCTATTTAGAGGGCTTGCAGTGAGGAACACAGTTTATATAAGTAGAATTGCAATACTAGACTATATATATATATATAAGTAAGGGTAGACAGGAGCTAGTTGCAACTATTTAAGAAAGAGAACGAAGTACTGTTCGACGACCTCGCTCCGCTTCCTTCTCTCTCTTCCTTTGTCTAAGCATGGGGTTAAAAATAGCCACAAAAATCTTCTCAACATTGTGCTTCCTTTTACTGTGGTCGGTACTAGAAACAACTTGTTTCAGCTCGCAACATAAGCTAATAGAATTCCAATCAAAGCTTCAAGATATGGCACCCTCAAGCAGTCCCATTCCTCCACCTTCCCCAGCCATCCCACAAACCAAACAGGTAGTCATTTCCCCCTTCAAATATGTATGTACACCTGGACAGTACTGCACTATATGTAATATTTAGAGATTCGTGTGTTTTTTATTTATGCATGTGTGTGTGTTGTTGCGTTTTAATTTATCGATATAATATATGAATTTTCCTTTTTTTAAGAGTGGGAGAGTGTTCTATCCAATTGGCTATGGAGCGGATCCAACTGGGATACAAGAAAGCAGTGATTCCATATTGAACGCTTTGAACGATGCCTTTCAAGTGCAAAATGGTCTTCAGTTGCTCCAGGGTGTGAATGACTTGGGCGGCGTTGTAATCGATTTGCAAGGTGGAAACTACAAAATCAGCAAGCCCCTCGGGTTTCCTGCGGCTGGCGGAGGCAACATTGTGGTTAGTCCCCTTCGTTTTTTCTCTTTTAACCTTTAAATACAGCTATCCAGCTAGCTACGTGTACATATATATTATTGCCAGATTCTATCATGATACAATGTGTTTCTTTTCTTCATTACATGTATGTTGACGCTTCAGTTCATCTATCTCCATGCGTTCTCTGCCTTTACATGTATATGCTTTTTTTCATGGGTAATCATAATTATACTTGTTCTGCTTCAAAAGATTGGCTTATTTTTTAGTTTTGTTCATTTCAAAATGATTGTCTTAATCAAAAAGTTAAATATGTATCTTTTTAATACTTTTAATTTAAATTTATCTCGTAAGAAAGCTATAAAAATGATGATGTTTTAAAAAAATGTGAATAAAAGAGATGATGTGACATAAATATGAAAATTGTTTGAGAAGAAAGTGTGTTATTGGACCATGAACAGTGGTCTGGCCGGTGGATTTCGGAAAGAAATTTGAAGATTTTGAGGCAACTTTTGCATACAATTATATCTCTGCATGCGGGGCTGTGCCAGTTGCCACATTACCATTTTGCAGTTTTTCTGCATGAGAAAGCGTTAAATAAGACAGCTCTTGTGTTGCATGAATTTTCTTTTGTTTATTTTTCGAACTACACATAACTTTTCTATTAATGCTTCCAATATCTCAGCCTCTGAATGCATCACTTACCCACCTGTAATCTTAATGTTCCTTCAATAGCTTCGACAAAAGGTACTAGTATATGGTTGGGTGGGGCAGAGATTTTCGTTGTACAAATAAATAACCTTACAGAAATTGGTTACTGCTTTATTTTTTGGGAAAATTTCGATTTAGTCTCTAATGTATTACTTCATTATCCATTGAGTATCATACTTTTTAATTTTATCAATTTTACGTCATACGAAATCAATATTAAACGATGTCATCCCTTCATCCATATATGCATTTCAAATTCACAGGCCAAACTCAATTAGTAGTGAATTAATAGGAGTAATGTCGATATTGATGGATTAATTGCATTTTAGTGTCATAATTTTCATCCATTCTAAAAAAAAGTCTTTTTTGTTTTTACAATTGAGGTCACAATTTTCATACATATTTAATTTAATTTTTGGGTTTAATGGTCAGTGGATAGTTTTCTACACTGAGTCTAGATTCTTCTATATTAGGTACTAACTAGGTCATCCAAACTTAAATTTATTTTGAATCCTAGATAATAGGATAAATTTTAATTTTTCTTCCTGAAGTTTGAAGGGTTTCTCAATTTCTCTCTTGAGATTTCGTTTGTGTCAATTATCCTTCTGAACATTCATCAAAATTTTAATTCTTTTCTTCTATCTATTAAACTAATATAACTAATGATGTGATATTTTTATGTTTCAAGTGACTTTCTAAAGTTTTAAAAAATTAAGTATGCATTCCTCAATTATATTAACAGAGCATCTTGTTTTTTCCAATATATATATATAATTAACATAGTTTGGTATCATCTTTTTATATTTTCATTTAAAAAAATAAAAATAAAAAACATGTGTTAATGGTGCAAAATGTAAATTTTAATATAAAAAAATTAATAATAGTAGCGTATTATATGTATGTTTGTCCAAGTCACAATTGAAATTTTTATATTAATCCTTCAAATCATATTAAAAATTATAAACTCAAACTAATATCTAATGATGTGGCTTTTCATCGTTTAAATATCATTATTATTATTTTTGCAAATTTTAATGAGAAGAATTTTTATGTTTTTATTTTTAATATGATTGAATGAGAAATACTTAATTGAGATTTTTGTTTATACTTTAGAAAGTCATTTGAAACATAAAAAAAAAATACCATACTATTAGTTATATTTGTTTAATAGATGAAGATAAATGATTTAAATTTAAAAGAAAATTTTAAAAAGTAATTGATACAAAGAAAAGAAATTGAGAACCCCTCCAATCTCAGAGAGGGAAAATTAGAGTTACCCTATATGATATATATAATGTAGAGAGCGTAGCCGCTTATTACTAGGAAACCTCCAAAGCTAGGTTGAGTTATTGATTTGAGCCTGTAGGATTGCTCATTGTGGTCATGTTTTCTCTGGGCGTACTCATCATAGCACCTGAAACATGTTTCAACAATCAATATTTACGCCTTCCTCTTAATTTGCGTTCTGAACTTCCAAAATAAGATATGTTGGTGTGCTTGAATCTTAGGTTAAAGGAGGAACTTTGCGAGCGTCGGACAAATTTCCTGGTGATCGGCATCTCATTGAAGTATGGTCACAGAATTCTCAAGCACTTGATAAGAGAAACAAGGTTCATGATCCCATCTACTATGAGGATATAACCTTCCGGGACATCCTTTTTGATTCGGGATATAGAGGAGGAGGAATTTTCATTGTCGATTCAGCCAGAATTCGAATTAACAATTGTTTCTTTTTACACTTCACAACAGAAGGGATTCTAGTCCAAAATGGCCACGAGACCTTCATATCAAGCTGCTTCCTAGGACAACATTCTACTGTAGGAGGGGATCCAGGCGAGAGAGATTTTTCAGGTACTGCCATTGACCTTGCTAGCAATGATAATGCAATCACAGATGTTACCATTTTTTCATCAGCAATTGGCGTGTTGTTAAGGGGTCAGGCTAACATTCTCACAGGGATACACTGCTATAACAAGGCAACCGGTTTTGGTGGTGTAGGAATTGTAGTAAAGTTGTATGCATCACTAACTAGGATAGATAATTGTTACTTGGATTATAATTCTATAGTCATGGAAGACCCTGCTCAAGTTCATGTTACTAACGGGCTATTCTTGGGAGGAGGCAATATAGTGTTAAAAGCGATCAATGGCAAAATTTCTGGAGTAAATATTGTGAATAACATGTTCAATGCAGATCCAAAAGATACGACTCCTATAGTAGGATTAGATGGGACATTTACTAGAATTGATCAAGTGGTCATTGGTCAGAATAATGTGGTGAGTGGCATGAACTACAAATCAACAATAGGGAAACTAACAGTGGCTGGAAATGCAACAAAATGGGTTGCAGATTTTTCCTCGGTGCTGTTGTTTCCTAACCAGATTAATCATTTTCAGTACTCGTTTTACGTTCGCGGAATGCCTAATGGGCTCCCAATTTATGCAGTCACAAATGTGTCAAATAATGTGGTAGTTGTGGAGAGTGACAAATTGGTCAATGCAGTGGTTTCTGTGATTGTTGATCAATTTAATATGGTTGGTGAGAGTAATGTTGTTATGTAAACATAGTTTAGTTCTCTTATAATCGAAATTATTTTGGTTCTGTAGAGATACTTGGTCGAATAAAAAATTAGAGCCTAGAATCATGGCTTGTCTACTACTTCTTCATGTTCTTTCCCTATTTCCTTTTACTTTATTTTTGCAAGTCATCGATGCAAGCTTTAGATTTTTACCGTTTGCATTTTCTCAACCTTAGGTCAAATTAATAACACTAACTAACGTATAAAAATAAGAATAATTACCACCAATTGTTTCAATTCTTAATTTATACAATTTGATGAAAGAAAAATTAAAAATATTTAGAAAATTTCTAAAGAACGAGAAAGGCATTATGCAATCAACGTATTCGATAATTTACAATGAATCTCTATTTATGGATATTCAATCTTTGTTTACTTAAAATCAATTAAAAGTTCTAATTGAATCAAAACACATGGTAGTCCGATAGTAAACAAGCATTGATTTGTAAGTTAGATTTAGGTTTAGAGTTTCATTCTTTTAGTCAACACTCATGAGAATTTATTTTCAGAATATCGAAAGCTATGTATTGAAAAACATCTCTTAACTATGTTTAGAGAAGAATTAGTTTTGAAACGTGCAAAAACTAATCTGAAAGCATCTTAGATTAGACAGTTATAGTTATGGAAGATCCTTGACTGTGATGGATGAATTTTACCTAGATTGGACAGCTATTGTTATGGAAGATCTGGTTCAGATTCATGTAACTAATGGTTTCTTCTTGGGAGATGCTTACGTGGTATTGAGAGCTGTCGGGGAAAAATTTCTGGGGTTACCATTGTGAATAATATGTTTAAATCGGATGCAAATTCTATGAATCGGCCTTATGTTCAATTAGATGGAAATTTGACCAACATTGATCAACTGGGGATCGACAACAACAATGCGATCGGCATGACTGTGAAATCAACGGTCGGGAAGTTAAAGTTGGTGGCAAACTTTTCATCCATACTGGTGTTTCCAGACCAGAATAATCATTTCGATCCAGTACCCTTTCGATTTTCAAGGGGCTCCTGTGGCATATCAACTAATGTGCTGGTTGTAGAGACCGACAAAACTGTTCATGGAGTGGCTTGTGTTGCTGTTGATCAGTATCATAGGAACGGGAGACATTTAAGTAGGATTGAAATTCTTCTGTATCATATTTATTTATTATTGTTCATATATAGTTAAATATTATTATTTTAATGTACTAAATTGTTATGTTATAATCATGTAAACTTTTTAAGAAAAAGTAACAATAAGTTCACTTATGAAAAATAAATGATCATTAAGTTTTATGATTTTTTTAATATCAATAAATTCATTTTTATAATTTATTTTTTAAGAAATTTCATATTTTATTATGATACTTATATTACTTTTTTTTAAAGGAGAAAATAAAAAACACTTGAACGGTAATATATATTACCATTCAAGTATTTTTTTCTCCTTTTTTAGTATGAGATAACACTTTTTTAATATTTAATTCATATTTGTAAATCTTTTTTCTAAAAGAACATATTTGTAAAAAAAAAAAAAAAAGAAAAGAAAACAGGTTGATGCTAATTTTGATATTAATAAACATTAATATCAAACTTTTAAATATATTGTTTGGATATTATAAGAAATATATATAAAAAAATTATATATAGTGTTTGGATATTACATTGTCATAACCGAAAAATTTCATGTTTTTATTTTATAATCTTAATTTTTTTTAGTTATTGGATTTGTCTTACTTTATTTTCAATTTTTATCTTAATTAGTTATTATTTTCATTATTCATTTTATTTTGTCTTTATTTTTATTTTTATCATTAGTAGTTTATATTAGTAATTTGTAAAAGAAAAAAGAAAGAAATACAAAAAATAACATGAACTTGGGATCAGGGGTGCAATTACATTAAATTAAAGTGTAATTGCATGTAATTACAGTAATTGGGTACAATTGGATTATTTGAAATGCAAAATCTAGATTACATTTGGCAAGGACCCGAATTACAAAATAACAATTTACAGGGATTAAAATTACATAGGAAAGAGATACAATTGCAAGCAATTAGAACTATAGGACCAAACTGGATTGGACGACCTTTAGTCCACTCCGGATTTGCTCTCTTGTTTTCCCAGGAACCCATTTTGGTTTTCCAGTTTCATTTGCTCCCCTGTTTTCCCTAGAATCAATTTTGACGTCCAGTTTCATCAACTCCTCTGTTTCCCTGGAACCAATTTGGTTCCCAGTTTCAGTTTTGAACTTCAGCTTGCAACCCTTCACCCTTTTGTCTAGCAACTCTTGCCACACCCAAATTATCCTCTGTACAATTCATTGCTCCCCAAGTTGCCGTGCACAGCCTCTCCCCCAATTCAACAATTCCAGCCTCCCTTACAGCCCACAATCTCTTCCACTTGCAGCCTCCACCTACAGCCACCCTACTGCTGCAAAATTCCAGCAGTTCCTCTCCCCAAGTCAATCTCCAGCAGCCCCTACTCCTGCAAACTTCCTGTAGCCACCCTACTGCCAGCAACTCCTACAGCATCCCAAACACATCCACTCATCACCGTAAACCTACTGCAGTCACACCACTACCACAGCCCACAACCACAATTCCATCAGCCCCCCACTCCATATCCTGCAATAAAATCTCTCACCATACATATATATACACAATTCATAGCACAAGAGAGGGGGAGATGAGGAGTTCAAAAATTGAAAGGCAAAAAAAAAAAAAAAAAAAAAAAGACCTAAACTGACAGTAGCTAGAAAAAAAGAGAGGAGAAAAAAATTCAAAAAGAAAAAAAGAAGAGAGAGAGAGAATTTACCTGTTGGAGAAGCTACATCTCATCGTTTTTTCTCAAATCAATTTCGTCTAGGTAAATTAATTTCTCTTGATTTTTGAATTTTACTGTCAATTTTCAAATTTGGTGATTTTGTTGTTTGATTAGAAATTGATGTTAGGGGTTTAAAATTAGGGCTAACTGAGTTCAATTGGGTTTCCATTTAGGGTTCTAAACCCAGAATTGAACTCAATTGAATTGGATTGAAAACCTAGGGTTCTTAAATTTTTTGAAAACCCAGAACTGGAAATAAGAGAGAAAGGGTGAATGAACGAAAAAGAAGGGAAAGAGGAAGAAGAAAAAGAAAAAAGAAAAAAAAAGAGAAGGGGAAAGGAAGAGAGAAGGACGAACAAAGTTCGTTCATGGGGAGAGAGAGATTCGGGAGTGATAAAGGAAGAAGAAAAAAAGAGGGGAACAAAGAGAGATGATTCGGCAGTGATTTGGGAAGAAGAAGAAGGAAGGAAAGAAAAGAGAGAGAATGGGTGAGAAGAGGGAAAAAATTGAAAAAAAGGGTTCTGATCCAAAATGTTTTAAAATGAGAGTTGGGTTGTGTTTTTGGGTTTGGTTGTTTTTTAGGTGGTGTGGGTTGGGCTTAGCCGAACCCATGTGCAAGTGGGCTGGACTAAAATTCCAGCCCAGTCCGAAAAATAAAAAAATAAAGAAAAAATCTGGGTAACCCTTCAAAAAAATAAATAAATAAAAACAAAAAAAAGAAAGAGTAAAAAAAAAAAGTGTCTTAGTTGTAAATTTTAAATTTATTTTATGCATGTTTGTTATTTCATATTTAATTTAGATGTTGAATTGTTTTAATTATTTTAATTGATGTAATTTTAATATTAAATTTATTTGATGTATGTTTGTTAGTTTATATTAATTTAGAATTTAATATTTTAATTTTATGTAATTATTTTAATTAATATAATTTTAACCTTGAATTTATTTTATGCATGTTTGTTATTAATTTTAATTTCGGTATTTGAATTATTTTTAATTTACTTAATTAATGTACCTTTAATTAATTTATTTAGTAATTAGACTCGGTAATGAATAGGTGGAGGATTGTCAAGTCTCCTAATTCTTTAGGGACTGATGACGGTCTTTCATCGAATAAAAAAAGAAAAAGAGAAAAAAGAAAGAGAAAAAAATAAAAAAGGTAAAAAATCATAAAAAATTTTAGAAACTCTCCTATACGATAGAGATTGCTCGTTAGTCAAAAAAATTATTTTTAGTAATTTAGATATTCTTCGACACATCGATTGTGTCGAGACTTAAAAAATGAATCCAATATTTGAATCGACATGTCTTCCGATGAAGAGGTTCGACAATTATTTCAATACGATGCCACGCCTAAAAATAAAAAAAACTTAATTTGATTTGAAAAATTAGAGTTTCAAAAATCAAAAAATAATTTAACAAGAATAAAACATTTTAGGAGATGAATTTTGGACTAAACTAGGTGTAGTACCTCTTTTAGGAAAGCGTCTTTCTTAAGAAAAAGTAACAATAAGTTTACTTTTGAAAAATAAATGATCATTAAGTTTTATAATTTTTTTAATATCAATAAATTCATTTTTATAATTTATTTTTTAAGAAATTTCATATTTTATTATGATACTTATATTGCTTTCCGTATATACATATCCAAACACTATATAAAAGATTAAAAAAAACACTTGAATGGTAACATATATATATATATGTTACCATTCAAGTATTTTTTTAAATATTATACATAGTGTTTGGATATTACAGAATATATAAAAAAAATATGATTTTATTTGATTAAAAAGCTTGGAAAGTGAACTTATTTGTTTTAAAAAACATATCATATAATTTATTGACTATTTATTTAATAAAAGTGAACTTATTTGTACTGTACCTAATGTTTTATTCGAAAATAATAATTTAATTAAAAATTCTTCATTTTTTTCTCTTACTTTTGTGCTATAATTTCACTTCTCATTTGACAAAGAAGTTGCAATTTTGGTTCTTTTTATTTCCACCCCCATTTTTTGTTTTTTGTTTTTTTTTTTAAACAGTTCTTTTGGGAGCTTTTGGAAATAAACAAATACAGACATGGGCTAGCAATTAATGCCATTTTTTTATTTACTCAGACCTCTGTTGACTCTTGGACTACACGGGGTAGTAGTCCCTGTTACATAACAATAACAAAATAAAATTTAAATAAACTGAAATAATTAGGATTGATTTTTTTTTAAAAAAAATTAGAATTAAATTCAAATAAAAAATTAACATTAAGTGGCATTGAAGTTAATTTTAATTTCTAAACCACTAAAGTAATTATGATGATTTAATATCTTAAGCTGCATAACTCACATTGTTTTACTTTTGTTCTTATGATAAAAACAAAGTTGTAAGAGAAATGTATGACGTTAAAGTGTGATACATAATATCATTATGAATGAATAGACAACAATTAATAGAAGGAACATGAAACATAAGGATTTCATTTGCGTTTTTCAAAGCTAGATCTAATACAATCACGAAGCTAATTAATTGAGAGCTTTTTCCTCCAACCGGTTTGTTCAATTCTCTCCTCTCCTTTTCTCTGATCCCATGTAGATTTTTTTTTTTTTTTTAACATCTTTTCTTGTTTTCTGCTTGACATGGCTAAAGAATTGTACATTAACTTGTATATCGTATTTCTTTTCATAGGAGTTTATGTTGGCAGATCGGCCAACGTAGAATATAACAATTTTCATTACCAAATAAGCCCATGACCTCCCTCGAAGTAGCATAAATCTAAAACAATGGAACCTTTCTCAGCATGCTGTTTCATTGTCTTAATTCTGGCACAAGCTGCAACTTGTTCCATCACAAGGGAGATGATGATAAGATTCCACAAAAAGCTACAAGAAACGGAAGCCTATCATCCTGTCAATGCTACGTTGACATTTCCTAAGGCATCACACTCGGTGAGATTTTCTTTCTGTATTATTGACCATCGACTTCATATATATATATATACACGATCAAATATAAATGTTCATCGGATGTCATTGAATTGTTAGAATATAGGGAGGGTATTTTATCCAATTGGGTACGGAGCGGACCCAACTGGGGCACAAGAGAGTAGTGACGCCATAATGAATGCTTTATACGACGCTTTTAAAGTGCAAAACAGGCTAGAATTGCTGCCCGATGTCCATGACTTGGGTGGTGCTGTGATTGACTTGCAAGGTGGAAACTACAAGATCAGCAAACCCATAAGGTTTCCTTCTGGTGGAGGCAACATTGTGGTTAGTACCTTTCTACACATGACTAAATTAATTTCTCTTCAGTAATTATTTCATAGGACAATGTTTTTCTGTAAAGAAGAAATATATAAATTTGAAACGGAAGATAGTGGAACAAATCTATTTAACTTTACAGCATGAAAGTTAAAACTCTTTGCATGCTAATTAAGAGAGGTAAAAAAAATTATGCAAATTTTCTTAGTAGGTCTAAATTCTTTTACCATTTGGTCTGTGCTTTAGAAGTACTGTTTTTCCCTTCATGTCATTACAACTTGCGCCTTCTTTGTTTATTTATTAGAGAAATCATTCAGTATAATCGGAATATACACATAAAAGATTATATTGAAAATCCGAAATAATATATTATGTTTTAGTTTTGGATAACTCATACTAGTGTATGCATACATTATGAATCTCTAACCTAAGAAACTGATATATATGAACAATGCTTCACAATTAGGTAAAAAGGGGTACATTGCGAGCATCGGAAACTTTCCCTGGTAATAGGTATCTTATTGAACTATGGTCACAGAAGTCTAGGGTGCATAAAGAAAAGGTTTACTATGAAGATATCACCTTCAGGGATATTCTGTTTGATTCAAGCTATAGAGGTGGAGGAATTTTCACTGTGAATTCAGTCAGAACTCGCATTAATAATTGCTTCTTTATACACTTCACCACACAAGGAATTTTGGTCAAACAAGGCCACGAGACCTTCATATCAAGCACCTTCCTTGGACAGCATCCAACAATTGGTGGGGATAAAAATGAGAATAAATTTTCAGGCACTGCCATTGATCTTGAAAGTAATGATAATTCAATTACTGACGTTGTTGTTTTCTCAGCAGCCACTGGTGTTCTATTAAGGGGAGAGGCAAATATTCTGACAGGGGTGCATTGTTACAACAAGGCTAATGTTTTTGGTGGCATAGGAATTAGAGTAAAACCAAGTGCACCCCTAACTAGGATAAATAATTGTTACTTAGATTTCACCAATATTGTCCTGGAAGATCCAATTCAAGTTCAAGTCACAAATGGATTGTTCATTGGAGATGCCAGTATAGTTTTACGGTCGATCAAAGGAAAAATTTCTGGATTAAACATTGTGAACAATATGTTTAAAGGGGAAGGCAGATATTTGAACCCAATAGTGGAATTGGATGGGAATTTCACTAGCATTGATCAAGTGGTGATCGAACGTAACAATGTGAGAAGCATGAGCTTGAAATCAACAGTGGGGAAACTAACCGTGGCCAGAAATGGAACAAAGTGGGTGGCCGATTTTTCGCCGGTGTTGATATTTCCTAACAAGATTAGTAATTTTCACTATTCATTTTATGTTAAAGGAGTAATACCGGCGGGGAATGTAGTGCATGCAGTGACGAATATATCAAATAATATGGTAATTGTGGAGAGTAACAAAGTCGTCAATGCAGTGGTTTCTGTAGTGGTTGATCAGAATAGCATTGTTGAAGAGATCAACTCCCTGTAATTAATCAATTTTGGTTGGTTTTACTTCATATATTACCTTTTTGCAAGTAACAACGAATAAAGCCATAAATATGTTCGTATTTATTGTTTTCTTTAGCACCGAATTTTTTTATAACTTTTTTCATTTTCTACCTTTGATTAAATTATCCAATTAATAATGCATGGATAAAAAACAACCATGTTTCTGTATATCAATATATCTATATCCATTGTATAACTTTTTGTCCAATAAACTATGTTCGGTAATGTATTTGCACTGCATTTGAAAATATTTTTCAAAATATATTTGAACGGATAAAATATAAATTTAATGTTTTTTTCACATGATTTTAGATGATTTTGATATGCAAATATCTCAAAAATATTATAAAGTACCTGAAAAACCAGTTTGATACTTTGTATTTTTATAAAAGTATTTGCACCTCATCAAGCATACTTTAATTGAAAAATGTATAACTACGCTGAGTGAGGGAGTAAAATAAATAAAAAAGATATCAGTCCCCAAGAAGTCAAAGGTTCGAACCTTTGCGTCCCCCTTAGAATCTAAACATTTTTTAGAGACCAACACCAATTGTGAATCACCTAGTTTTGTATAAGAATGACGATGCATCGAGTACAAATTTGGAGTAGCCTTACCTATTAAGTACCAATTAAAATATTTCAAGGGATGATAGGCAATGGTCTTGCTTACGTACATGGTATGTTCAAAACAATTCATTAGCAATCATGACAATGGCCTTTTTGTGCTAACCTTCTAAGGAATAAGAATATAACGACCAGACTGTTGAGTTTATTATGTCAGAATAAGATCATAATCTGCTACAACTAAATCAATTAGATAAAAGAGTAATAAAGTGCTTAACTAACTGGGAAAGGATGTTCGAGGTATGACTCTGAAGCTGTAAGAAAGCTGTTGTGTTACAATTGCACTGATTAAGTCCAGATGTCATGCCAAGTAAGCTTTGACATGTCAGATGTTACATATGTTGGAAATAAAACTTGAAAGAGTCAAGGATGTTGTTGATCGATCATAAGGCTCAAGTTGTTGAAGACGTGTTCTTCCACTAAAGATCTATTTTCTAGGGGTAGGGGCAGCATGTTGCTGTATTAATTTCTGCATTTTTTGTTCAGTTTAGTGGTTGTTTTGTTTATAGACCATGATCATCAATTTTTTTGGAATTTCCGTTAAGTTTTTGTTGTATTTAAATCATTTTGATCAATGAAACAAGTATACAACTTTCTATCAATAATCAACATAAGATATTAGAGCTCTCTTTTTAAAGGGATATGTGTGCAATCTAGGAGTGTGTGTGTGTGAGAGAGAGTGTTTAAAAAACAAGTATCTTTCCTTCCTAATTCTTAGTACGCATGCAAAATCAAATGGGTTCAAATAACTTTTCTCCAGTTCTACCTCCTCTTTTCATAAGTGAAAACTACCAATTGTAGGTCTGTTAAAATGACATCATATTTACGGGCATGGGATCTCTAGGTCTGTGGAAGAAGAGCTAGTTGTTTCACCATTGGGTGATGGTCCCACAATACAGCAGAACAAGAATCAAAAGGAGAAATCATCGAAGCTTTTTGAAGACAAGATTTGCCTATATTCGATACTATCCGAAACACTCGTTTAGCGGAATCATGAACCTAGAAACAACCTTTCAAATTTGGTAGTGTCTCAAGCATAAATTTCAAGGAAATGCAAGAACAAGGAACATAAGGATCTTGAATCTCAAAAGAGAATTTGAGCTACGGAGGATGAAGGACTTCGAGACTGCAAAGAAGTATACGGAGTAGATTACTAGACATAGCCAATAAACTAAGGCTTATTGGTGAAGTGACGCCTGACGAGTAGGGTGGTGGAAAAGTTATTGGTGACATTATCCGAAGGATTTGAGGTTAAGATCTCTACATTAGAGGAAATTAAAGACCTCATAGAGATCATATTGATTGAGCTCTTAAATGCATTAAAAGCTCATAAACAACAAAAGCATATTAGAACTTGAAGAAGAAATGGAGGCCAAGATGCAAATTCAATAGAATTAGGATTTAGGCAAAGGAAGAAAAGAAAAAAATGGAAAAAGAATAAGGGCAATCATGGTATAAATGGAATCTAAGGTGCAAGTAGTAATGGTACTAGTAGCAGTAACAATTAGGGAGTCAATTATCGTTTATGTTGGCATTGTGGTAGAACTAATCATCATTATTCCAAGTATTGGTGCAAATGCGATGCAAAATACAACAAATGCAATCAAATAGGGCACGTGGATAGAATTTAGAAGAACAAAAGGAGGCATGAGGTCAATGATGTGCAAGCTATTAATCAAGAAGAGGGGGAACAACCATTTGTAGCTTCATGGTATGCAAATATTAGTCAAAGTGAGATTTGATCATCTGGATAGTGGTTATACAAACCACATAACCAACAATGCTGAAATTTTCAAAGAGCTTGACGGAACCTCCATCTCAAAGGTAAATGTAGGGAATGAAGAATTTATCTATGTTAAAGGTAAAGGTTACGTTGTAATTAAAGCTACTGCAAGAGTTAAGGTGATTTATAATGTGTTGTATGTTCCAAAAATTGATCAAAACTCGTCGAGTGTTAGCCAATTACTTGAAAAAGGATTTAAAGTGTATTTTTAGAACATGAAATGTGTAATTAGAGATACGGCGGGACTAGAAGTGTTTTCTATCAAGATGAAGGGAAAAAAACTTCTCACTTGATCTAATAGAGAAAGAATAGGTTGCATATCAAGCTTCGTAAGAGTTATTGATCTATGGCCCAAAAAATTGGAACATTTTCACCATTATGCTATCTTATTGATGCAAAAACATGAAATGACATAAGGTTTGAATCCATTAGAGGATAGCTTCTCAAGTTGCAAAGCTCGTCACTATGGTAAACAAACCGGACTATCCGTTCCATAAAAGGCTTAAAATGTATCAAACAAGCTTCGACTTATGTACACTAATCTTAGAAGGCCTTACGGATACCATCTTTTAACAACAATAAGTATTACATTGCCTTTATTAATGATATGATAAAAATGTGTTAGATATATTTATTGTGGTTCAAATCTAAAATGGTTGGTGTGTTCGAAGGTTTAAAACTTGGGTTGAGAACCATAGTGGTTATAAGATGATGATCTTAAGGTTTCATAATGGAAAGGAGTATACCTCAAACTAGTTCAAAAAATTTATAAGAAGGCGGACATTGAACATTAACTCACTACACCTTATACTCTTTAACAAAATGGAACTAGTGAGAGGAAGAATATAACCATCATGGAGATGATTCGTTGTCTACTTGTATGAGAAGGGGTTACTTAAGACATTTTGGGCGAGAGGCTATAAATACTGCAGTCTTCTTGTTGAATAGATTATCAACCGGAGTTCTATAAAATCAAACTTCTTATGAATCATAGTTTGCTCATAAACCTTCATTATCTAATTTTAAAGTATTTGATTACTTGTGTTTCTCTTACATTCCCCATGTTAAAAGAGATAAATTGGATAAGAAAGCTAAACCTAGAATCTTCATAAGCTACAACAACGACTCAAAAGCTTATAGGATTTTTCGACCACGATCTAAAAAAATTCATTATCGAGCATAGATGTTGTTTTTATGGAGGATGAGTAATGAGATTGGAATACAAGTGATGATATTCAACATTTTAATGGACTATAGCTTAATAAAGATGATGTTGATGAGCAACCAATTAGGGCACCAAATTACTTTCTTACATCTATGCAATGTGTAATGTTGCTATGATGGAATTAGCGAGATGTTCGGGAAGCGATGTAGGAGCAGAAATGGATTTCTGCTATACAAGATGAGCTATACATGGTTAAGAAAAATCATACATGGTAGCTTATTATGAGACCTCAAAACATGAAAGTTATTGGAGTAAAATGGGTAAACAAGCACAAAGGCGAGTCTAGTTGTAAAAGGATATACATAGGTTTTTGGTGTGGATTTTTTAGAGATCTTTACTCTTATATCCGGGCTTGACACCATTAGATTATTGCTAGTTGTAGGCTGCTTAAAAGGGTTAAAAAATTTTCTAATTAGATGTAAATTTTGCATTCTTAAATGATTTCCTCGAGGAAGAAATTTATGTTGAAACAACTTGAAGGTTTTGTTGTGCGGGGTCGGGAAGAAAAAAGTTTACTTATTGAACAAGGTTCTATATGGCCTTAAACAGGTACCAATGGTTTGGTACAACCATATAAAAGATCACTTGCTAAGATTAAGTTTTGTCAAAACTGCGAGTGAAGCAACTTTATATATGAAGAAATAGGTATCAACAATGTTACTTGTTTCTATTTACATTGATGATCCGTTGATCACATGAAGCAATCGGGAGCTCATTAATGTTTTCAAAGCTAAAATACTGAACAAATTTGAAATGACTAACTTGGGACTGATGTCTTACTTTTTGGGTTTGGAAGTGAGGCAACAAAAGAATAAAATCTTCATCAATTAGTGCAAGTATACCAAAGAGATCTTAAGGAGGTTTCGTATAGAAAGTTGTAAGCCTATTGATACTGCCATGGAAGTTAAAATGAAGTTTTACAAGAATAATGGTGTGGCTAAGGTTGATGAGAATTACTATAGAAGTCCGATTGGATCCCTCATGTATTTCACTACCTTCATACTTGATATTATGCATACAGGCTATAAGTCTTTTATCCAGGTTTATGCATTGTGCAATTAAGGAACACATGTAGGATGTTAAACATATTGTGAGATACATCAAGGGAATTATTGATTATGTTGTTAAGTATGCAAGTTGTTAGAATTTTTAACTTAACAAGCTTTTTTAATAGTGATTGGACAAGTCTAATTGATGATATGAAAAGTACAACAAGTTTCTGCTTCAGTTTTTGTTCTAGTGTGATCAATTGGTGTTCAAAAAGTAAGAAATCACTACTCAAAGCACTATAAAAGCTAAGTTTTTTGCTATAAATACAATAGCAAACCATGCCATATGGCTAAAAAAA